TTTAAAATTAATTACCAGAAAGTATTACTCCTAGAATACATAGAAGATCACATCTAGTGTGATCTACATCCGGAATTTTTGTTTTTACATTTTCTCCTTCTTTTCCTCAAAAAAAAACAATTTTCAGATAAATTCTTCATTTTCTTAACTTGCACTTTAAGATTTACAGCAGCGTTTGGTTGATTTAGGGAAATTAATCGTATTCTTAATTTTATTTTATTGTTTTCATCTTCATCAGGAAAAATTTGTTTTGCGCTTTCCTTATCATTTTCGTGACTTTTAATATTTTCTTCGTCACTTCCATTACTTTAGCAGGTGATCCGAACATAGCTTCATACGGTAAACTTTTTATACCATAGTGATAACTCCGATTCTTCATAAATAAAACGAACTTAAGACTTTCGCTCCACTTTCTGGAATGGTTATCAGATAACCATGTTGCGAGTATATTTTGTAAGTCTTGATTGGCCTTTTCTACAAATCCTTGACTTTATGAATGCCTAGGCTTTCTATGAATAATTTTAAGTTCTTCCCATATGTTACACAACTCAATAATAACTTTATTTGCAATTTCTTTTCCATTATCACTTTGCAAAATTGCTGGGGCTCTAAATTTTGTAAAAATATCAATTAATATGTATGCTACTTCTTCATCCCGTATATGAGTTGACGGTCTAAAAATTACGAACTTCAAAGGTTGATCTTGATAGACCATTATGAACTTGTAATTGTCATCAGGCTGAGCTTACGTATTTATCACATCAACTTGACAGCGAGAATTCAATTCTGACGAAAGTACAGGTTTTACAACTAAGCCTTTTTTTATTGTATAACTTTTTTTTTTGACACTGGTTACATAAATTCAAAAATATTATTATAATCTCCGTTCCTTATTATATTTTTATATTTCAAATTCAACTCATACTCCATACGGTTTTTTCCTCCGAATCCTATAGACACATGTGTATCATTAAGAATTTGAAATAACTGTTCATTGTAAACATAGTACTTAAATAAATTACCTTCAGCTACTGGAACTACTAATTTTTCAATCCTCGATATATTTACATCATATTTCTTAATTAATTAATTTATATTCATCTGCAGTCTTTTTCGTTGTTTTAATTTTCACTATATTTACTTTTGAAATTAATAAATCGTATTCATCATATTTTATTTAAAAATACACTGTTTGCGCTTTTGTTTAACGGTAAACTGTTAAATTTATCGTAAAACTTTTTTTTCCATTATTATGAGTTAGGTACGTTGACTAAAAGAAAAAACAACGCTATACACCGTTATAATTAATTAATGACAGACTACGCGACACTGTGACAGTAATCTTTCGAAAACATCCAATAATAGAATAAAATTCAATAAAATAAAAACTATATAGCGTATTATCGGTCGAAAGATAATATAGCAATAAAATAAATAATAATAAATATTAAATAGCGTATCGGTGTACGGAATATACACAGGCGTATTTACCAGCGCCCTAATATACGTACCTATATTTTTTCCTTAATTATTAGTCGTGATATCAAACGAATAAAATATGTAGGTATAGAAAATTGTTACTTATAAATGCGATTCGATAGAAATGTGTCCACTTGATTTCGGACATTGTGTACAGTGCCCGAGAACTCTCGTACAATGCCCGGTCAATGTAGTCGAAATTGGAGTATTAAAATAAATTGCCCAAATCGTTTGGGCATTGTATTACAATGTCCGGGTACTGTGCACAATGCCCGAATTTCCTACTTTACCCGTAACATATATACAATAATAATAAAAACAAAAACCAAAATCCCACATTCCGGACTTTTCTTTGTAAAATATTTATTATTGTTTTATGGTTTTAGAAGTTAAGTCTTCTATGTTATAATATAACTAAGTACTCAGTAGTCACTTTACCCATACTTAGTCAATAAATACATAAAATTTCTTACCAAATTAATATTCTAATAATGATCTTTTTAATAAATAATAACAATGTAATTACGGGCTTCACCATTTCATACTTATATTATTTTAGCAGCAAAATAAATTAGAATTAAAATCGTTAGAGGTTGGGGAATTAGACAGACAAGCATAAAATAATAAAATGTGACAACTGAGAATATGAAATATCATAATAGGTATGATAGCTATAGATTTTTAAAAATTAAACAAACATAAAGATTATACTATGATTTAAATAGGTATACAAGAATATTGCTAGCGTATATTGCATAATATACGTTATGGCGCTATCAAATACACAATAAAATATTAAAATAACAATGTACAGTCACAGTTAGGGTAGGTTAGATTGTGGGAATTTGTCAGGTATATTAAATACACTTTGCAAGCAACTTTCCCGACGGTGCTAAGCAGTTCGAAAATGATAAGAATAACAAGAGGACTTTGATGGGATTATAATTCCATTATCGCGTATTCGTGTAATTCAGTAGCTACATATTACAAATGATTTATTGCCTTATGTTTAAATTATTGATCGGATATGAATATATGATACATTAAAATGTTTAGAGTAGTATCTTTTACAGAATGGCTACTTTGAAAATTTGATAAAATAAAAAGTTATTTTTTTTCAATAATTAAGGGATGAAAATAAAAATTTAATTTTTCTCTATATATGAGCCCTCTAGCACAAAACCAGATTAAAACTACCAACAGTTATCCAAAAAATCTATTTTTAAAAATGGCTAATTTGAATTTTTTTAAAAAAAAATTATAGTGAAATTAAAAATTTTTAATTTTAAGTCCCCCTACCCCTAAAAAAATGTTCATACATTAACTGTAGCACTGAGGCATATTAATTATTTAAAAGAAATGTATATCAAAATATTGAATAGAACAAAAGTTATTGCATTTGTCGAATCCTCGTGGGACATTCTGTATAATAATTTTATGATTTAGGCCCATATCGCCGAAACGCATTTCACCAAATCCCATCTCACCGCTACAAAAATCGTAAAAATTACAGTATTTCAACACATATTAGTATAACAGAACGTCGCAATAAAAATGGGGTGAGCATGATTAAACACTCTGTATATATGTATAATCCTAACCCATTATTAAGTCGAACTTATATACCTATCAAAAATTTAACAAAAAAGGTTCCTAGTCATTTTTTGATTGGAGCAAAATTTAATAGAAAAGTTGTTTACAGACGGAAAAAAACATATAACAGTAAATGTTCGCTCATTTTCGCTCCACTCACAATCTATACTTGTACAAAAGCAAGAACGCCCGAAGAAATATAAACCGGGTGGGGGGGGGTGGCCAAAGTCAAAAGTAAAAGACATAATTTACAACTTACAACTTACATGCAATCATGGCTTATATACTTGAGCCGCACAAGTGATAAAACAATTGATATTTACCAAAATAGCAAGGGGGGGGGGGTCGTGGCCACCACCGGCATCTCGCTGCGGGCGCCCTTTTGTATAAGGACAATTTTTAAAATTATTAGTGGATACGTCGCCGGGGAGTTTGGACCGTTACGCCGGGTGTACTATAGCGTCTCTTAAGTCGGTACCTCAACGTATCAGTAATGTCCGTACAATCTCCGATTAGATGAAACGTGATTGTACGAACACACGTCCGCGCCGTAATATTCTATAGTAATGTTTCTTGCCGGTGTCCCGTATATAATACATGCACATGCGCGTAGTGGTGTGTCGAATCCGGTGGATAAGGGTGTTGTTCACGCGCACAATAGAATACGAAATGAGAAAAAAAAAAAAATTAATTAATTATCTTACGAACACCGTCGTCCACCCCGAAACCGGTTCCGAAGAATGCGGAGACCGCCAACGGCCGATGCACGCGGCTCGCACTCGCCAGCATAATAATAATTGTACGGTCACAGGCGCGGTTTGAAATGTCTGAACATTGCGCGGGTACGGCCCTAACGAAAAATCCGAAAAGACCAAACCGCGCGGCGCGACACACAAAATTATACGCACGACGTTGCCGCGTTCCTCCCGGACACCATTTTGGACGCGATACCGGGAACAAGACGCGTGCAACTGTTGCATGTGAAATATGCGGGCTTTCAATTTAAACGATATTGCCGTGAGAAACAGCGGGAATAAACATGGGGGCATATTAGTTGAAAGTGACAAATACGCACCAAGTGCCTAATTAAAGGGGTTTTTTTTTTTTTTTTTTTTCTATGCAACAACCGAACGGCTTCAACATTTTTCATTCGATCATCTATAAGAATACAAGCCCAGTCAATAGTAATATTTATTGAGATGAATTAAGGTGTGACCCCATAGGAGTACAGCTTCGCCGCTCAGCTTCAATGGTTGGACTGAAATTTGGTTCGAGAAAGATTTTTTTATTTATTTTTTCTAAGAATAACAGATGCGTTCTACTTCCAACGAAGAACCGCGTTTAAAATGTAGAAAGCTTTTTCCATTTAAACTTCGGTATTGTCTGTATTATTTTACGTCTCATCACTCGCGACAAAATTATATTATATAATGATAAGAAGTGCAGTTGACCTTCTCGGTTAATTCACCTACTGTATGGTTGCGTATGACACTCGAAAATAATAATATTTTATTGTTGATTTTTTTCCGTCGATTCTGCTGTGTATCGCGTTTAAATATTTCGATAATATATATACGTGATTATTGGTGGTTTTTTTTTTCCTCTCTGTAATTCTACAATATTGTCTTTATTAAATGTAGTATAATGTCGACGAAAATAATTTGCATTGTATTATATTGCGGTTGGTTCTTAAGTTAGTATTTTTGGAAGAGTCGGCCTTCTCGTTTTGAATGATTGTTTTTTTTTTTTTTTCTAATAATCGGCGGGAGCAAATTTATTATGAAATGATAAAACCGTCGTGGACTGTCGGCCGAACGCACCGCCGCGCCGCCGCCATCGCCGGAAACCGCTGCCGTGCGTCGGTTGTCATATTATTACAGCGGCGTGGACACGCCAGTGTGACCAGTGTTGCAGTTGGCGTTGGCTGGGCAACACGCGTCTGTCGATAGTGGTCCGGCAAACGGCGAACACATTATACCGGCGTACCGACGTACCGACGACGGACACAAGACTATTCGCAAGTGAGTAACGATATTCTTATAAATCTGATTGGTAGGACGCGTATATAATATCTACAGCCCCCATCGGCTATCCCGAGTCCGACGTAACCGCGTTAGTTCCGGGGGTTCAGCAATAAACGCATAGCCCGTACCTGTTGGTCCGAACCCGACACTGCAACGAGGGAGTTGTTAGTCATATTGTATACCTAAAACGTAGTCGACGAAAAGCCACCGTGGGTTAAGATAAAGCAGAGGGAAAACGGGAAAAGTTAACCTATCCATCGGCTCAAATCCGACAATGATCCGTGGAAGTTAATGTCGTACGCCTAAACTCCGTGTCCGTGTCCGTGTCGATGAGATACCGCGACGGGTTTTATGTATTTTCACATACAAAAGTGTCTATAAATATACGGGAACGGGGATTATTAATATAATAATAATAGTTAATTATATTACATGTATGTTAATTTAATTATTCACTATCCATTAATTTGATAGAACACTCATATTTGCTTTATCTAGTTGTGACCAATTTTGAGATATAAACATTTAAATGTTGCAACTTTGATATATAAATGGTAGATACTCTGTGGTTAAAATTGTTAGGTTAAACAGAAGTACTTGGAAATTATTCTTAAACTATTACGTTCACTGTAAGTTGTACTTAGATGAATGTAATCTTGTTTTTTTTTTTTTTTTTTTATAAGAATTTTAAAATCAAATTTTGACAAAAATCGTATATATTACGGCCTTTTAAAACATGCATAACCAAACTTCGCTCCGAATTGTTTTTCATTAGCAATGGTTTATCGTTGCTTACAGGTATAATAATAGCGCACCCATGCCCAGTAACAGGACATTATTTTTTAACTTTAGTTTTAAAACAAATTTAAAATAGAGGAATCATAGCGCAAGTCACTAATCATTATTACAGGAGAAAAAAAACGGACATACTTCACATTTGCCTTTCTAGACATGGTAAAATTTTCAAAATATTTGAATCATTTTTAAGCCTTTTATACAAATTTTTATATTTTTGTTGAAATTCAGTTAAAAGTTTCGTTAAAATTTACGAAAAACGGAAAATATACGAAATGCAGATATTAGTAAAAAAATATTACGGCCCTTTTTTTTTACTGTGAACAACTTTTCTTCCAGCAATTTTGCCCAATTTACAAAGATAGCACTCTTTCTGAAAGGAAATCTGACCGGGCTAGGTACTTTAGGGAGATGATTTTTTGATTTTCCCGAAAAATAGGAAAACCATGGAAAAAAACGGGAAAATAAATACAATACTAAACAAATATTATTAAAGAAAATATATAATGCATATTATATTATTATTTTACCATAATGTGACATATATATTGTTGATAAAGCATTCTCTCAGAACCGTTTTTCGTTAGCAATGGTTAATCGTTGCGTACAAATAAATATACATTCAATTTCCTCTTTATCTTCCAAACTTTTCACCTACAACAGTAGCCTACGTGGGAAGTATGACCGTCCTTTTCCTAATACTTATACCTTGTACCTAATATATGGTATGTAGACATCGTACACACATATATATTCTGATCAGTGGCGTGGCGTGCGATATTCGATTTGCAATAAATCCAGTTATCTATAAATTAGCCTACCCCCTCCCCCAATAAAAATTATTTTAATCACCCGTGGTGGTACATGCTAATTTTTTCGATTCAGGTATACCTTTTTTATTTCAATTTTTTTTTTAAAATTTTAAAGTTAAAATGGATGTCGATTATACATGGGAAACAGCGACGAACAACGCCGTATCGATTCAAAAACTGGAAGAACATTTTCGGAAAAATTTCTCACCATATCAACCGGAATACTATATCAAAGTGCCGGGTAGAGTGAACTTGATCGGAGAACACGTTGACTATTGCGGTTATTCCGTATTCTCGATGGCCATTGAACAATGTATCGTGGTGGCGGCCAAGAGAATAAATGACCAACCAACTGTTCAGCTCACTAACTTGAGTTCGGAAAGATACGAAAATGTTTCTAAAAACATATTGGATATAAGGTAAACCAAACGTAATAAGATTTTTATTAATTTAAAAATAATAAATTATCAGGCGCAATCTAACAATAAATATTGCAGTGTGGATTCGTTGAGCAAGAGTCCGCATTGGTCAAATAATTTTTTGTGCGGTGTAAAAGGAGCCCGAGAACATCTAATTGAAAACGAACTGATACCAGGGAAAAATGTTGGATTTCTGTTTGCGGTCACCGGTAATATTCCGGAGAATTCAGGATTAAGCAGTTCGAGTGCTTTGGTAACAGCTGCTGTGATGGCAACCTTGGTCGGATATGGAGTGTGTATATTTTTTTTTGTTTGTCATAGCGTTTAATGTAAAGAATGAAAAAAATTATAAAACAATAACAATATGTCAATATCAAAATAATAATATGTAGTAACGACGGAAAATGAGTAAAATATACTACAATAAATAATAACCAAATTCGTCATGAAATAGCGGTATGAATAAGTAAATTGTTAACGATAACTTTTTTTAGGTTCGCATCAGCCAATTAAAGTTAGCCGAAGTCAGTGCCAAGTGCAAAAGATATATCGGAACAGCCAGCAGTGGAGTGGATCAAGCGATAGCAGTGAATGCCAAAGAAGGTTAGACCAAAAGCTACTATACAAAATACTTACGCATGCATGTAAGATATATACAAACATGTATACGTTTTACTAGTGATTTCATGAAAATTTGTTTTGGGGAAAATTTCAAAAAGTTGAAAATTATGAAAATTGTATAATTTCTTTAATTAATTTCTTATTAAATAAATCCTTTGATATTATATCTCTTATATACTGGTCTAAATATTTTGGCGGAAAGGTTTTTTTCATAAAATATTAAATAAAATAATGATTTTAAGAAATATAATATAATAAAATATAGTTTTTCATTATGAGTTTTTTAAGAAGAATAGCACATAATTTAAGTATGATGAATTAAGTATTTTAATTTTTAATATTATATCTATAGATTAACCTATTTATATTATTACATTTTTATCATTTTTATTACATATTTTATAATTTATCAGTATATGAATATTTACATTTTTATTTTATATGATATTACTACTATAAAATGACAATGAATATAATATGTTTAAATAAAAAATTGCCCTATGTCAAAATGTCCAAGACCACCTTATGTAGTTATACATAGTATATTAAACCTTCATAATTATATTTAAAACCATGTACTTGTATTACCATTTACTCATTTCAATATTATTTTGGTATTATTCTATTGACCATAATATAGGAAATCTAAAATACAAATAAATTGATCTCAGTAATAAATGCATATCTATTATCATTAAAAATTTTTTATTTCAGTATAAATGTTGAGTCATTGAGTGTGTAAACATTTTCTTACAATTATTGATTTTTCAATATTTTGTTGTAATTTATTGTTTGTCATTTCCACAATTTTACACTAACTACTTTTTATGAGTAGTTATCACTTATTACTATTAGTATCTATAGTACTATAGTATTATTACTTATCATTTATTAGTTATTACTTTTTACTAATTGCTTTGTATCTAGTTTAAACATAAGACCACAAGTCACAACTATTTATACATTTTAATTGATAAATATGTTTTATTGTAAACATGTAGCCATGTAGAAACACCTATACAGGGTAATTCACTAAATGTACTTATCCAATTTTTTTGGTTAAATTTCACATACATTCAAGTTTTGATTTTTAGAATTTTTTAATGTAGTTAAAGCCAATATTTTCGAAGACTTGGATTTTCACAACATTTAAAGAGTATCCTGAAGCTTTATTAAATATATTTTGTTGTTAACATTTTTGATTTCCGCAAACCTGTTAAAGAGATATTCCAATTTAAGTTAAGGCAGTGGAAAAGTAGCAAAGCACTAATAAAACGCTGCGCGCTGAGCCACCACAAAAATGATACTCCATTACTTAAACACCAACATTTAATTTTAGTATTCGAAAATATCGGCTTTAACTACAAACAAAAATTCCAAAAAACAGAATTTGAATATTTGCAACATTTAATGATAATATAATATAATGATAATAGTCATAAATTCATAACAGTATCTACATAATCATTGTTAATGTGTACTTATTATCATTTGTATTAGATTTAAGCATTGATAACCAATAATATATTTAGCTATAATGTATCGATACCAACTAAACAACCTCATATTATGTTATGAAAATGTCATGTAATTATGTTGTGAAAATTAAATTAAAACTAAAATTTTCAGAAAATTTTAATGAAAAAAAAAGTGTTCTAGCCCACACATTCTCTAAGTTTTACAATAAAAACTAAAGTACAACAGTAGTTTTCCCATAGAACTTATGACTATTAGCGAATATGTATTGTTAAATTCCAAGTACAATTTAACTTTCTTTTAGGTTATGCTTCTCGTATTGATTTCAACCCGATGATGATTAAACAGTACCATCTACCGAGTGACGTAAAGTTTATCGTTGCACAAAGTCTAGTTGTCAAAAATAAAACGGCATCAAATGATTTCCACACTAGAGTAGTTGAATGCAAACTCGCTTCTCAGGTATATATGATTTTTGGTGACTTAGTTTTGAGTATTTGAATATTTATCTTATTGATTTATTTACATATCATAGATAATCGCCAAACGATTGAATCTCACATGGAAACATATGACGGTATTGGCAACACTTCAAAAAAATTTGGGCAATACTTTAGATCAAATGATCGAATTGGTCCACCAGAATTTACATGTCGATGGGTATTCCAAAAAAGAAGTTTGTAATAATATTTTATGTGTTTGTAAAATAAACAATTACAAATAATAATAATAATAATAATACTTTTAGATATGTGAAATTTTAAATGTGTCCGAAAACGAGCTCGACGAGCTGAGTTTAACGCCCAATACGATTCACGTTACTGAATTTTTCTTACATCAAAGGGCTCTACACGTATTTGAAGGTCGACTTTACAAAAATGATTTCTCTTTCATTTAATTTTAAAACTCTCTTCTTGCAATATTTGTTACCTATTAGTTCTTATTACAGCCATATTTATTGTAATAGTATGATGTATTTGATCCTATTTCAATATTGTCGTTACAGAAGCTAAAAGGATGGAAATGTTTTGCGACCTTTGTGAAAATTCCGGTACGACATCGGACCTTGGGCAGCTGATGAACGAAAGTCACTCGTCTCTGCGTGACCTATACCAATGCAGTCACCCGGATCTGGAGGAGTTAGTAGATGTCTGCAAACGAGGACATGCTTTCGGTTGTAAACTAACGGGAGGCGGGTAAGAGAATTTATAATATTACAAATCAAAATGTTTCACAAATATTAAATAATGTGTGTGTCTATATTTATGTATACTTATCACAGTTGGGGAGGATGCGTGGTGGCCATGGTTCCATCGGCCAGTGCTGACGAATTCGTGGAGTTTGTCAAAGACCAGTTTTACTCGAAGAGAAATTTTGACGAAAAATGTATTTTTGCCACAAATCCATCAGAAGGCGCTTGCGCGTATTTGCCCTCTGAAGCCCAAGATGGAACACCAGAATTTTCGAAGCTCGTTCATTTATAAATATTTTAAAGTAGTTTTTCAGTTAAACTGTAAAATCGGTATTAAATTTTATCATATTAATATGGTATATTGCATTTCTGATGATCGTTATTTTATCAAAGTAAAATAATTTGAATCATGAAAAATGATTCATTTTCAAAGTTTAATATTAACGTGTAAATTATTTTCTTGAAATTGAAATATTAAATAAAACTATTTGAGTATACATATTATACAATACATCATTAATCAGCAACACTAAAGCTGAAGGTATATTTTCAGATAAATATTTTAGATTCTTAGTGCGAGATGGTTTTACAATTAATATGTCCTTTTTTAGATTCCGAACATAGCGAGGGACTATTGGTTTTACTAAAATGTTTATTTTTTTTCTTGTAGCAACTTTTAAGCCACTTTTGAACTTTTAAGAAATTTTAATTTTTGGCAGTATTTTGTTGTAATTCAGTTATAAATATAACATATTTAGTTACATATATTTATATGTAGAGACTTGGAACTTAGTAATAATACTGACATCGACTTACCTAGAAGTTAAAAAGAGGTTTTAGGTAACCTAGAGGTTAAAAATTTCAAAATCATCGGGTGGCTTTTTTTTTAAACAATTGTTTTGAAATCAAACTTTAACGAATATCGCAAAAAAATTATGTCAATTCTAATTATTTATTAGCAAACTATGCTCGGAATCGTCTTTTGTGAAGCAATGGTTTATTGTTGCTAACAGTACAGTGTCCACTCCTATCCTCAGTATCAGCTTTTTTTTATATTCAGTTGCGTTTTACATTTTGACTGATATACCTGATGCTAAATTTTTAATTTGAAACCAGTAGTATAATACACCCATCATAATACTCAAGGTAACACATTTATTCATTTAATTATTTTTTATTTTTTTACATACATTTTTGATTTATTTATTTATTTAAGAGTATTAACCATTTCAATAATTTTGTTTTTACTTTATTAATTTATTGGTAAAATTGTAAAACCATTTAAGCTATTTATAGACACTTTGATTTGTGAGTAATTTTTATTTGGTAGGTACTCTGTGGATAAAATTGTTAGAAAAAACAGAAATGCATTAAAATTGAACAAAAAGTTAATTATAAGTTTAACTTTGTGGTCAAAACAAAAAAAATTAATTTAATGTAGTATATTTTTGACAAAAATTGTTTTAGTAAATAATTATAAGGAATAGATCTATAGTTACTGGTACACACAAATAGTTTTAATATATTTATTTTACTATAATATGATATATGTATCTCAAATATTACAATAAGTAAGATAATTTATACATATTATTATTAATTTTGTTTTAATTTATTTAAATCTAGGTTTGTTATTTCATTAAAATATCTAAATCTTATGATGGCGTTAAGGTCCATTAAACTAAAATTTTAGAGACTATAGAATCTTTATAGTGGTTGATAGACACTTTTAATTTAAAGGAATATTTTATTAAATAAGTATTATTTTGTTGTGGGAGACAGTGGTGGTGGTATAACTTTGTGAATTGTTCAAGTGCCCCTAAAAATATTAAATTAAATTAAAAGTGACTATCAACCACAATAAAGATTCTATAATCTCTAAAATGTTAGTTTAATGGACCTTAGAACCATCATGAGATTTAGATCTTTTAATAAAATAACAAACCTAGACTTAAATAAATTATCTTACTTATTATTTTGTTGTATTATAATATTATTATTTAGTTATATTTTTATATTGACAAACCAATAGGTAAATTATAAACATTTTACTTTCTTAACTTGTGGCATTATGTGTTAAAGTGTTATGGTGATTAAGGAAGCAGGGGCAACTCCAGACCTTAATTATGGGTGGAGGGAGGGTGTAATAATTAAATTTAGTTTTAATTATTGATAAGAAAAAAAAGACAGACATACTTCACACAATAGGTAGACCACTGTTGTAGATGAGAAGTTGGTAGAAGTTGGAAAGGTAGAAATACATATTTTATATTATAGTAAAATAAATATTATATTAAAAAAATTTGTGTGAACCAGTAACTATAGATCTATTCCTTATAATTATTTACTAAAACAATTTTTGTCAAAATTTGATATTAAAATTTTTGTCAAAAATATACTACATTAAATTAATTTTTTTTGTTTTGACCACAAAGTTAAGTATAATTAACTTTTTGTTCAATTTTAATGCATTTTTATTTTGTCTAACAATTTTATCCACTAAAATACATTTTGAGTACCTATCAAATAAAAATTACTCACAAAACCAAAGTGTCTTTTAATAGCATAAATATGGCTCAAATGATTTTACAATTTTACCAATAAGTTAATAAAGTAAAAAAAAAATTATTGAAATAGTTGATATTCGTAAATAAATAAATAAAGTTGAGATATTATACAGATATTCCATGTTAATGTTAAATAACTACATATTGTCATACCAAGGGTTTAAACCCAGGTTCGATTAGGAAAATTGTTTACACTTTTTTTACCTTTTATCTAAATATGAAAAAAACAAATGCCTATTAATTATATCTAGAGACCTAGCTATCACTTGCTTGGATATACCCTTCAATTTGTTGTGCAAACTTTTCTACCAGAAATCTTGCAACCATGTATCTAGTGTAGCTTATTTTCTAAATGGAAATTTTATCTCTATGGTTTAGAGAGGTCATTTTTATGGTTTTTAATCGGTTTTTATAATAACTGGGAAAACTGGGACAAAATGTCCAAAAACAGAAAATGTACTTAATGTAGGTATTAGTAAAAAATATAATGGTCTTTTTTTTGTGTACAACTATTCTGTCAACAATTTCACTCCAATTTACAATGATTGTACTTTTACTGAAAATAAATCTGACTAGAAGATTACTTTAGGGAGGTCATTTTGCGATATTGCCAAAAGTTTTCTTAGCAAATGTGATAATACAGGAAAAAACATGAGAAAACCGGAAAAAAGGGAAAATCGATACAATATTAAACAAATATTATTAAAGAAAATATATATTGTAAAATATCCAATATTAAATTTTATTGTATTTCAAAAGTCACACATACAGTTAAAATATTAACTTATAATGAATTTAACTTAGATATATTTTGGTATCAATGGACAAAAAAACAACTCTAATTATTATTATTATTAAATTTAAAAAAAATAATAAAGTAAAACAAAATTATTAAAATGGTTAATACTCGTAAATAAATTTATAAATAAAAAATTAATTAATCAATAAAGTGTATTAAACAACTAGTTTTGAAAATTCATAATCAGGTATATCATAGTCAAAATGTAAAACGCAACTGAATATAAAAAATTAAATGAATGAATATATAGAAAAAAAAATTATACAAATTGGTCATTAAGCATATTCCACGTAATCTAATGGTTATACATACAATTATGATCCTATGGGTTTCGAGTTCAAACCCTGTTACAAACTCAATTTTTCAAATTTTTTTTCCCTTTTACCTACACAAGGGAAAACAANCATAGTAACTTAGAGGTAATTTTTTGATTTTTCTAGCGGTTTTCATAATATCTGTGAAAAACAAGAATAAAATGTCAGAAAAACGGAAATTGAACGAAATGTAGGTATTAGTAAACAAATATTTCAGCCTTATTTTTTCCTGTGAAGTTTTCTACTATCAATTTTGCTCAGATTTACAATGATAGCATTTATTCTTGAAGTAAATCTTACTTAAAAGGTACTTTGGGAAGTTAATTTTTCGATTTTCCCAGCAAATGTGAAAAATTAGGAAAAAGGAGAAAATCGGTACAATATTAAACAAATATATTAAAGAAAATATATAGAGCCTAAAAAATTATTTTAGCATATGACATATTTTGTTGACAAAATATCATTAAATTCTGTTCAGAATCATTTTTTAGTTAGCAATGGTTTATTGTTGCTTACAGATATATATCAAATTACCTATAACAGTAACTGCATCCGTTCCCATTATTCTTTTTTGTATTTAGTCGTATTCATTAAAATTTTATGGAGTCTCTTAAAGTCTCTTTTCCATGTAAATTTACCATTCCTGTGTATGCCATGGCTGGGGTGCTCGTTATATGTATGTCAAATATATATACATCTTGGGATTTCAATATGCTCGATTTTCAATTAAAAAAAAACACTAAATTTTATATATTAAAATAAACAAAAAACAAAGGTCATCCATAAAAAAAAAAATAGTGTTATATGTTGATTTGGAATTTGTGTAGAAATTATTTTAATATATACATTTTTTATTTATATATTTATTTACCATATTTATTTATTTAAAATATTATCAATTCATAACACCTATCTGTAACTATTCAGATTACAAATGAAAAATTTAATAGAATAAAAAAATTAATTATTATTTTCCAATTTGAATACATTGGCCTGTTTCAGATCATATTATTAACAAATGAATATAAAGTATCAAATATTTAAATAAAGTTGTTTTTTTTGTTTACTATTTTTAGAATACTTTTCAATTAAATTATCATATAATGTCAGAATAATGTCAATATCTATCTCAAAAATAATATGAAAGAAGTAGATTATATTTATTTAAATATATTAATTTCATTTTATTTATTGAACTCTTTGCCAAACAGGATGCATTAGTACTTCTAAGTTACTGGAATAAGTAATATCACATCAGAAAAAATAAACAGGATTGAATATTTAAATGTGAAATTAATGAATACCAATATGAATATCTAATTCAATAAAACTTGTAAAAAATTGAAAGTTGTTCTAAAATACATCAATATACATATCAGATGTTTATTTTAAAAACACATGGTTATGTACTTATGTATAATATTATAATTATAAATAGTGTTTATATGTATTATAATTATATAAATAATATTACATTATTGTGTTATCGCTATTCAAATCCCTATAATATTTAACAGTAATTTAATAAACTATTACTAAAATCCCTAACCTCAAAACCTAACCTAACTAACAGTGCTCTTTAAAATTATGATTACTATATTAAATTATAAATTATATTATTATATTTCATATAACACAAAAATAGAGCCTTAATCAATTGTATAATTTTATTCAATCACTATTAAAAAAATTAACTGGGAAGGTGAGATTACATAAAATAAATTAAATTGTTCAAAAATAAAATGCTAGGTACATTATACTTATTGTTTTACAATTTAAATTTTAAATAATAAAGAAGTTAAACAATTATTGAATAGGTAATTTAAACAAACTAAAACAATTTAATTTTAAGTGGTTACATCTTTATGTTATTACTTATTAGTTATAAGTTATTACACACTGAATGAAAAAAAAGTTGGCTACACATCAATCTATGGATTGAAACTATAGAAAGAAATAGAATAAAAATATTTAAGAATGTTAATTATTTTATGCTAAATTAAAAATATATGTTATACACAATGTTTTACACAAACTAGTATTCATACACAAATTATATTTGTTATACAATTTAAAGTTAATATTCTTAAAGGATAAGATTCAGTTTTGGTAATACAATAATTTTAATACTTCTAAGAACAAAAGTATTTACATAAGCAAATAATGTTATTTTCAATATTGGATTTATTTTATACATTTAAAAATATATTGTTAAATAACAATATAATATTTTATTTTGGTTAATAATTTTAGATTCTGAGCAGGCAAAGAATGTATTGGTTCTACAATAATATTTATTTTCTTTGTATTATTTTAAATTTTGTTTTATGCTGTGATTCAATTAAAAATATTTGTTAAGACTTAATTTTTACAGAAAATTATATTTGCCATTTCTAGTTGTAGTAAAATCTTCAAAACATTTTAGTTATTTTTTATTTAGTAATTTTTTGAGGTTTTTATATCATTTTTATTTGGTACACAGTGGATAAAATTGTCATACTTTGTGGTGAAAAAAAAAACAAATGTAATATAGAATTATTTTATAGAAATTTCAATATCAAATTTTGATGAAAATCATGTTCAAGTTCATAAAATCAAATATCAACACTTATAACCTAACTCCACACAAAACCATTTTTTGTTAGTAATGAATAATAGTGTAGTACAGATAAACATTAATTTCTTTCAAAATTACCTTTTCAACTTCTCACCTAAAACTTTAGTGACTTATACATCAAAGTATGTCAGTCTTTTTTCCTTATACTATTGGTGTTATTTTTAAAGTCTATATGAAAAAAGAAGGACATACTTTGCATAATGAGTAGGCCACTATTATAAGTGAGAAGTTGGTATGTTAGGTTATAGAGGGAGATATAATTTATATCTGTACACAATGCTTATAAATATTATACATAAACCATTGCTTACAAAAATGATTTGGAGCAAAGTTTCTTTTATACATATGTGTAAATTGTTCCATTTTTCCTAAACTAACCTAACCTTCCTAGTTTTCCCAATTATATTGAAAATCGCTTGGAAAATCAAAAAATGACCTCCTTAAAGTACCACCCAGATAAAATTGTCTTCAGAAAAAGTATTACATTTGAAAATCATAGCAACATTTCTTGTAGAAAAGTTGTTTACAGATAAAATAAAATAAAAAAAGAATTACAAACATGTGTTATATACAATGTTTTACATAAACTAGTAAACACAAAGTATGTTTGTTATACATTTTAAAATTAATATCCCTAAAGGATGAAAGATTCANAAATTATAATACTTGAAATATATTAAACTTTAATACCAAATCCTATTCAATCTTAAAAGTATATACAAGCTGTCCCAAGAAGATAAACCCCTTGAATATCTCTGGAGATAATAAACATAATTCAATTCTGATTTTTTTTTTTTTTTATATTACTTACAGGGATGAGAACTACTAAATATTTGTTTTTGAATAAAACATTTTTTTAAATAAAAAAATTAACTTTATTTTATTATTATCTAAAAATTTTAATATAGCCATGCTGTAGTTTTTTTCTGGAAATTTTAATGATCATTTAGAAATAATAAATAAACATGGAACTAAGACTTACAAAATTTAACCAAAATGAACAAACAAACTATTGATACTTGATAAATTTGATGGAAATAAGAACATAATATATGATAATCAAACATAAATTGTATGATAAGTAAAGTGTTAAAAAATGACTGGGGAAAATGTTTACATAAGAGTTAATCACATTAAGGTTCGCCAATATACACAATTGATGCTTTTGCATTACCAAAAATAGCTCCCACAGTAGGATATAATTTAAGTTTAGGTAAATTTTTAAAAGCAATACCTAAATATTCATTACTTTTTTCAAAGTGTAAAACACCATTTTCACAGTCTAGTATTAGTTTTATTTTTTCACCACTCTGATACTTTGGAACATTGTATTTTAATGGATAACTGCTTTGTTCTATTCCATTATGCACCAAAATGTTGTTAGTTATATTCCAACCCCAACTAAACTTGTCAATTCCCAACAAAGACACAAAACCACTCTGCATTATTGTATCTTTTGTTGACAGGCCAATCATTGCTATGGTACCTAAATAAACAAAGTGTAGGAATATTAATAGTAAATTATTTTAAGTTAAACTTAAATTAGAGAATATTACGTGGTGCTTTAATCCATGTTATTTCCCATACATGTTTACCAGTCATATAGCCAATTTTTGTTCTTGCCATATAAGGACTATGTGGTATAAGATTTCGATGTAATGTAAATCCATCTTGCTCAATCACAACATGATTAGAACAATCTAATGGATTCCATGCATGGTATAAAGCACGTATTATGGCTTTAGGACTATTGAGGTTTGACAAAAGTTTTGATTTCAAAATATATTGAGATATTTTACGCTGACACAGCATTCTCCATGGTACTGCTTTGTCATTATTAAGTACTTGGTACCAATTTTGACAGACTAACATACAGCTAAGTAAATCATGCGGTTCCAAGTTTAAGAATATGATGTCCAATACAATTGCAGGTAAATACTGAGGTATACAATCACCCATCATACAAATGTGTAATTATAAATATGATTTAAAATGACAATTACTTATGTAAATCAATAATAAAACTACAATATTTATGCTAGTCACAATCAATAAATTATAATTAAAACCATGTGTCATATAATTAACTGTTAAATTAAAAATTAATTACCTATTGAGTATTGACTATTATTCTTGATTTTATAATTTAAAACCACAAACTCTCGCATAAAACAAACAAATATGAAAATTATAGAAAATAACAGATTTTTTAAGAGCCAAAATGACGCCACACAATAACTGTAATAGTCTAATGCCGTGCCAATGTGCCATAACCCAATGGATAGTATCACGTTATATTAACTATGAGTGGTACTCATAGGTAGTATTCACTTTTTGGAAAAATTATAAGATAATTATGGCTACAGCAGTCTGCAGTAATACCAATATTGAAAAGATAAAATTTAAATCAAAATGTAGGTACACCAACAATATGGAAATAAATATTGTTTAAAATGTATTATTTTGAAATATTATGGATTCGTATTCGTGCATAATATTTATTGCATATATCACCAAACGGCGACCCGCAAACAAGTAGGAAAAAAACGAAAACATAATATGATATTTTAAAAAAAATCGTAAGTTCTTATTTTTGAGCAAGCATTTTTTTCTTACATTTTTCCAAATAATTGTAACATTAATTAATTTCTTAATGCTTAAACAAATTATGTTCTCATTACTTTCAATTTTATAATAATACCTATTCTATTATATGTTAAAAATAAGTATTTTGAAGTTTGATAGCCCACAAAAAATGTCCAGATTCCTGGCCTTTCCTGGCAGAATGTGACCCTTCAAAAATATTAATTGGTGACCCCGACCATAGACTATACCAACTTAGACTATAGAATAATATTACTCTATGAATTTATACACGTAACTCGTCTATTATCCCTGATTCCTGTTTTTGTGACTAGTGTGTGGATGGTTAGGTTAGGTTAGGTGGATTCTATTCTGTGTGTGTGTTACAGTTAGACATTTTAATATAAATTTGCGGCGTTTCCATTTTCCAAATTTCTTTCGTGAAAATGAACATCAATTGAATTCATTTAATTGATTACAAATATTTTTTACTAAGTATTTTAAGAGCGTCCTCAGCTCAATTCCATGGAGGGAGCGAACAATTTTTACTCTTGAATATCACCATTTTCGTCAACAAAAACTTAAAACCTATGTCTGATATCCTTTCAACTTATATTAGCTCAGAAAACTACAGATATGCTGTACAAATATATAAATATATATATATATATATATATATATGAATTACAACACAAAACAAAATTGAAAATAATAAAACATTATTTTCGTAAATTGTATCGTTTTTCTCAAGTTTTTTCGCGGGTTTTCCCAGATATTATGAAAAACACTTGGAAAATTAAAAAATTACCTCTCTGAAGTACCATCTATAAAATATTTCCTTTCAAAAAGTGTGCTACATGCCACATTTACATATTGAAACAAGATTTCTGGTAGAAATTTTATCGCAGTACAAAAAAAATAAACATAGTAAAACCAACACATTTTAGCAACTTAAAGTTGCTTCTAACTGAATCAATTAGGTAGGCTACTCTTCACCGGTATATTTCAAGCATAGTGTTTGAATCTACTAGGTACTTCATTTTCTGCTCCAGTAGTTGTAAACATGAAGATTGAGTTTCCCTGTTGTGAAATTTGGATCTTGGATCCTTTTATTAAAAATATATAATATAAACACAAATATTAGACCATAGACAATAAAAACTTGGTTGAAAATACAAAACCATGTAAAAAAACCACTGTTATTTACTGTCTACTCTATACGCAACAATTAACTAATACACTTATATATAATAAAATAATAAAGTAAAAACAAAATTATTAAAGTGTTAATATTCACAAATAAATACATAATAATCGCGTTTTACATTTTGACTGTGATATACCTGATAATGAATTTTTAATTCGAAACCGGTCGTATATTACACTTATAATATTCAGGTAACGCATCCATTAATTTTTAATTTTTTTAATTTTTATATATATTTTTTTATTTCTATATAAAATTTCTTTATTTATACATTTATTTATTATATGCACTTATATACTTGAAAATGAGAGCAAAATTGCTAGTAGAAAAGTTTTTCCCACTTACAAATTTGAAAAATAAACATGGTAAAACCAATATAATCTAAAATAATAGATATAGAATAATAATTGACGTTCAGTTCTGCTGTCATATGTTTTCATAACAAGTCAAGGGTAATTTCATTTGGACGATTTATCACCATTTTACAAATATTTACGTTTCGTGGTCGATAACTTTGTCAATATTAATATTCTCTTTATCAACTATAGGACCTTATTTGTTCCTTACTGCATTCTGGTGATATACCTTCGTATTATTTTTTTATTCAGCTATAGTATAAACTATAAAAAAAATAAAATACACACAAATTGTTAACTACTGCTCCACGGAAACCAGAATTTTGATCGTAATTTGTATCATTTTTAATAGGAATTGTCTTTTTAATGAAACATATTATAATATATTATATTTATTTTGAATTTGAAACAGAGGATTAAATTCACTTAAAATATCTATGATTTGCACCATGGGAACAATTTTAAATAAATATATCTTGAGTAAATCAACTAAGTAGCTATAACTCTACAAAGCGTAAAACCCAAACTTGCTCCACTGCATTTAAATCGTGACTGTATAGTTATAACTACATCATTACATCAAAACGTTATTAAGAGCCATATATTTATTTTCATTTTTGTATATAAGTGTACAACGAAAAGAACGATGGGCGTTGTGAAAATGAATCAATACCGCCCGCGTATGATGGGGTGCAAAGAGTTCAAATGCCTACGTTGCCATTTTCACGCAGTCACTGTTTTTTTTTAAACGACAGCTGTGAAGTGTTGATGAATATTAAGGTGTGGCATGACTAGTTTTACGTGGGGTTTGGTTCATCTATAATATATTTGGTATTCGTAATTGATTGTAAAAATAAAATGTAACTAAAAATAATAAAAAACTCATTATTGAATGATTAAAATAATTATTCTCTTAAACGACTATAGGTACTCTGTATAATTTTATTGGTCCATTGGAAACCAGAATTTTGATTGTAATTTGTATCATTTTTAGTAGGAATTGTCTTTTTAATGAAACATATTATAATATATTATATTTATTTTGAATTTGAAACATAGGATTAAATTCACTTAAAATATCTATGATTTGCACCATGAGAACAATTTTAAATAAATATATCTTGGGTAAATCAACTAAGTAGCTATAACTCTACAAAGCGTAAAACCCAAACTTGTTCCACTGCATTTAAATCGTGACAGCGTAGTTATAACTACATCATTACATCAAAACGTTATTAGGAGTCATATATTTATTTTCAATTTTGTATAAAAGTGTACAACGAAAAGAACGATGGGCGTTGTGAAAATGAATCAATACCGTCCGCGTATGATGGGGTGCAAAGAGTTCAAATGCCTACGTTGCCATTTTCACGCAGTCACTGTTTTTTTTTAAACGACAGCTGTGAAGTGTTGATGAATATTAAGGTGTGGCATGACTAGTTTTACGTGGGGTTTGGTTCATCTATAATATATTTGGTATTCGTAATTGATTGTAAAAATAAAATGTAACTAAAAATAATAAAAAACTCATTATTGAATGATTAAAATAATTATTCTCTTAAACGACTATAGGTACTCTGTATAATTTTATTGGTCCATTGGAAACCAGAATTTTGATTGTAATTTGTATCATTTTTAGTAGGAATTGTCTTTTTAATGAAACATATTATAATATATTATATTTATTTTGAATTTGAAACATAGGATTAAATTCACTTAAAATATCTATGATTTGCACCATGGGAACAATTTTAAATAAATATATCTTGAGTAAATCAACTAAGTAGCTATAACTCTACAAAGCGTAAAACCCANCCACGGAAACCAGAATTTTGATCGTAATTTGTATCATTTTTAATAGGAATTGTCTTTTTAATGAAACATATTATAATATATTATATTTATTTTGAATTTGAAACATAGGATTCAATTTACTTAAAATATCTATAATTTGATAGGTACTCTGTATAATTTTATTGGTCCGTTAAATTAATAATAATTACCAGTTCATTAAATGCTAGTAGGTAATCAGATTTCAGACCATTATGAATTCAAAAATATGCAACAAAAATGCTATAATATTTTTCATAATAATATTATTGGGAAAAGCATAAATTACACAAAAAAATAAATAAGCAAATAAAATACCGAAATCGAACTTTCCTGAGATTATTTATTTAAAATTGATAAGGTAGATTATTATCACAAGTAAATGGATTTTTCAACTGTTTAAAATATTGAAAATTTTAGATAATTAGTTATAATTACCGGGTCCACGTAAAAACTTGGACGGTACAAATATGGAATATAGAACTTTGAAATCCGTTTTATGAATCGCGATTCTCATCAAATTTGAAAAACCGAAAAAAAAAAAACGGCGGAAAAACGAGAAAATATAAGTACCTACCTAATGTATTAGTTAAAATATATTACAGCCTTCTTTCTTTCTGTGCACAAAGCAAAACTTTTGTTAATTATTTGGTAGGTATTCAGATAAAATTGTTAGACTGAACAGAAATGCTTGCAAATTCAACAGGAAATTCATTGTAAGTCGTATTTAGTGGTCAAAAAACAAAAATATTGAATTTAATGCAGTATTTTTATTTTATATGAATTTCAATATCAAATTTTGACGAAAATCGTAAATATTACCCTATTAGCCTTTCAATACATGTAAGTATAAACGAATCGTTTTTAGTTAGCTTTATGGTTTATCGTAGCTTATTGAATACTGATATAAATTACATAATTTAATATAACATATCTTTTCAATTTTTCACCTACAACAGTGGTACACCTGTGATCCATCCCATGCTTCAATAGTTTTTTTGAACTTTGTATTATTATTATTTTCTGATTATTATGTTGTTAATGTTTCCCACTGTTTGATGCATCCCTCTATAGTTCGTACCACGATTAAAGATAAATCCACATATGTATGTAGACAGTAAACTATTATTATTAGACCTTTTGGAAATTCGGACTACGACATTTCGGTACAAATGGTCATTGTTATCAGCTGGTTGGCGCGTCAGTCGATAGTCACGGAACAAAGGCAAGGCACGGTGGAGGAGTAGAAAAAAAAAACCAGAACGTCGTTGTTCCTCGTTAGTCTACGCATTCACATAACCGCCTTCTGTTACTTTCTATCCATCCGTTCATTTTCGTTTCGAAGTAACGGCCGTCGCGCCTTCGGTCTCCGCCGTAGAGATTACCGGTTTTTGTACGTCCATTCGCTCGATACAATAAACGAACGTCGTTTTCTTTGCCTATATTTTTCTCCCTATCCGGCCGCCATCATGATCGGCGGACTTTTCATGTACAACCACAAGGGTGAAGTACTTATATCCCGTGTGTACCGCGACGATATTGGTCGTAACGCTGTGGACGCTTTTCGTGTCAACGTCATACACGCCCGTCAGCAGGTCCGGTCGCCGGTCACAAATATCGCACGCACGTCGTTCTTCCATATACGCCGGGCCAACATTTGGCTGGCCGCCGTCACTAAACAGAACGTCAACGGAGCCATGGTTTTCGAGTTCCTCATCCGGTTCACACAGGTAATGCAATCGTACTTCGGTAAAATCAACGAGGAAAACATCAAAAACAACTTTGTGCTTATCTACGAGCTGTTGGACGAGATACTGGATTTCGGGTATCCTCAAAACTGTGACACTGGCGTGCTCAAAACGTTCATCACCCAAACTGGCGTCAAGTCGCAGAGCAAGGAGGAACAGATGCAAATTACGTCTCAGGTCACAGGCCAGATCGGCTGGCGTCGCGAAGGCATCAAATATCGACGCAACGAACTGTTTTTAGACGTACTGGAGTACGTCAACTTGCTGATGTCGCCACAGGGTCAAGTGTTGTCAGCACATGTCGCCGGTCGCATCTTGATGAAGTCATATCTGAGTGGCATGCCTGAGTGTAAGTTTGGCATTAACGATAAGATTGTCATGGAATCCAAAGGCACTAAGATTCTCGATGAGACAGGTTCTAGGACCGCTTCTGGTAAACCAGTTGTTGTCATTGACGACTGTCAATTTCATCAGTGTGTGAAACTTTCAAAATTTGAAACTGAACATTCCATAAGCTTCATTCCGCCTGACGGTGAATTTGAATTGATGCGTTATCGTACTACTAAAGACATATCGTTGCCTTTCAGAGTGATACCATTGGTACGCGAAGTGGGCCGTACACGTATGGAAGTGAAAGCTGTGTTGAAATCCAATTTCAAGCCATCTTTGTTGGGACAGAAAATTGAAGTAAAAATACCTACTCCTCTAAACACTGCTGGTGTACAACTTTTGTGTTTGAAAGGCAAAGCCAAGTACAAGGCTTCAGACAATGCTATCGTATGGAAAATCAAGAGGATGGCCGGCATGAAAGAAACTCAACTATCTGCTGAAATTGATCTTTTGGAAACTGACACTAAGAAAAAATGGACCAGACCTCCAATCTCAATGAACTTTGAAGTGCCTTTTGCACCATCTGGTTTTAAAGTCAGGTATTTGAAAGTTTTTGAGCCAAAGTTGAACTATTCTGATCATGATGTTGTCAAGTGGGTCCGTTATATTGGACGCAGCGGATTATATGAAACAAGATGTTAAACAAATATATATATTCATAAACAATAATAATTATAAACTATCTACCTACTATTCTCATCAAATTATTTACCAAATTATTATTACATTTTTATTTATTTATATACCTGAGTATCTTAAATATATTATTCAAAACTATTTAATCAATTATATTATTATAATTATTAACCATAGTCCATAGTGTACGCTATATTGTCGCAGCGGTAAATTAACTATTCGCGTCTAGTTATTTGTGTTCATTTTATTTAAATGATTAATATTATTACATTGTCGCAGAAGTTCATTAGATCATTTGATTTATTATATTATTTTTATATACTTATTTTTTTTCGATCTGCTTGTATTTTTACTATTTATTGTAATCTGTTATACACAGATATTACTTTAATTACTAATTATTGTAATGTAATACAAAGTTTAATTGGGTCTAGTTTATAGTACCCAATTTATTTTATATTATAGTTTTACAATAAGATCAGTTCTTATTTACATATGTTTAGTTTATAATATTATAATAGTTTAACTGTAGTAAATGTTTTAAAGAAGTTAGTATTTTTTTTGTAGGTCCATTGAAGGACAATTTTAAATTAACAGGAAATAATATTTTATTGTCACTTAAAAATATTGAAAAGAGTTCATTGCTTCATTAAATAAATTGAACACAATAGCCTCCTGTGCATATATGATTTATATAAATTAAACTCAATAAATTGAATTAGATTAAATATATTTGAATTGCAGCTTTTATTATTTGTAGTAATATTAATAACACAACCAATTCATAAATATGCAAATGGTTTAACCTATGTTATTTTATTATTATTTATTTTTTGAGTACTAATATAATACTGAAAACACAGTGTTGTGTTATTGTATGGTAAAAAAGAAGATATATTTAAAGTAAAATATTAGGTACTTGAGGACAAAATAATAATGAATTTTATTTTGTACCTATGTATAATGTACATCATAGAACTTTTTGGTAAGTTATGATTTTAAAATACTTATTATTTTTTTTATTTTTGTAAATTCATAATTAATTTTCAGAAAATGAAGACCAAATTATATAATGTTAAATGTGTGTACATATTTTGTCAGAAATAAACAAGCAAAATTATGATATTAGGGTTAGAATATATTCTAAGAGTGTTAAAATTTTTATCAAATGAAGTAAGTTGAAAATAAGTGTCTAAATAATAATTTTCTGTAGTCCTTTGAAAACATATTTTAATTAGTTGCTAATTATTTATGTAAAAATGAATTATATTTTTATTTTTAGTGGTAATTAATAACATTTAATTTCCTGTCTTTCTGTTGTCCCTAACAATTAATACATCTAATTATAAATACTGATTTTTTTTTTTAAATTCTTATTATAAATAAATGTGTTAAATGAGTTTATTATACTAATAATCTTATAAGTAATAAATGAATTCTAATTCGTTTAATAGATATCACTATAGATCAGAAATTGCAAATCCATGGCACTCGTGTTTGAGGTGGCACGCGAAAACTAAAATATTTTAATTTTATATTATGTGGGTACCTAAACTAACCTTTTTTCATATTAATACATTAATTTTACAATAAAATAACAATAATTGTTTTCTTACAATATTGAATAAAATATTATATTTTTCATGGCATGCTTAAAAAAAAATAGGTCATTTTTGGCACGTAGTGTTCAAATAATTTGCCACTCCTGCTATAGTGTTATTTGTTATACTTGTCTGTGTAATGTTTGATTGTTTGGCTATTCACTGTAATCTGTGTTCAGTAATAGGCATTTATTCCAGATAAATCATTTTTTGGATGAATTTATTTTAATTTTAATACAGATATATATATATAGTAACAAATTTGATATGCAAACTTTTAGTTTTTTTTTTATATACTCATAGGCATACATTGAAGAAATAATTGAACAATTTATTTTCACTTTTTAATACAAATTTAAGCAGTTTTTAATATTTTAAATTTAAAATATGTATAACTATCAGTCATTAATTTTCTATCTAAATATTATAACTTGACAAATGAAAAACATTTATTTTTTTAATTATCGTGATCAGTAGAATTGTCAATAATGACAAAAATATAAATCTCATATGACAATGAAATTAAATAGAAATTAAAAAGTAAATGAAAACATTTGTATGTTAAATTTATGTTTCTATTATTATCCAAATAAATGGCAATTGCCTTCAAATCCAAACCTTATTGATCATGATAATAAAAGAAAAACTAATATGTTTAATTTGTTAGCCTACCCCAAATAGTTGGGATTAAGGTGAAGGAAAAGAAGAAATGTTTTTAATTTGTTAAGTAATACTTAATATTTATATAGAAAAGTAAAGACTAAATTGTTTTGCATATTTTTGATTTAAAAGATTAAATTAGACTTTAAAATTTAACTAAAAAGTGAAAACTGATCGTTATGGTCATTTATTAATTATGTATTCAATGTATAGATATGAGCATAAAAAAAAAATCAAATTTGTTAATGTAGGTACCTATATAATATGTAGGTATTACAATAAACATACTTTTACCCAAAAATGATTTATAAATGATATTTTTTGCATTTTTCTATTTTTTATTTGTATTTAATTATCAATTGATCATAATATCCATAATACACATTGTATACACATTAATGGTACAAAATGATAAAAGCTTGAGACGGGTTGTCGATGTTATGTTTAAAATTATTTCATTATTGGCTATCACATTGTTATCACTGTTAGATGTATTAAAAAAATATTTATCATTGTAAGTTAATTTACCATTTGTCTAAGTACCCTTCACGATTTAAGATATTTAAGTATATATTAAATCGTAGTACCCATACTACCTATCTAAAGATTTTAATAAGTTGGTTTTTAAAGTGTTAATTCAATGGAATGGATAAAGATCGTCCTACATGATGATATTCCAAAATATTTTGAGATTAAACCCACGCCATTTTTCTGAAGACAATTAATTTAAGTAGATATGTATATTTGAATAATACTAATAAAAAACAAAAATCGAGGAAAATAGTTACATAAGGGAAAGTGACTAATGGTACAGATGAATTTTAAATCGCGAAAGGAAATATATAATACGCGCAGGGAAAGATAACACGCGAATACGGCCTATACACACTGTATAATCCGGACAGGCCGACAGGATAATTTGGTTAAGTCAGACGTTATATCAGGTAGTGTGTGTCGTACTTGTAAATCTGGTCCGGTCGTCTCGGGAGCGCCCGGCCAACTCTCACTACTAAATCGGATCATGCGTAGCACTGTCCGGCAGATTTTCTTTCGCCGTTGACACCGACGGCGGTGGTTGTGGATAGTGGTGGTTGGTTTTTCGTATTTCTATATTCCAATCATCGACTGGTTCCGGTCATGGACATAAATAATATTACCTATTAACGTTTTGCGTAGGTACCTACGGTGACCAGACGTGTTCTTTTTTGATGCATTGTTTGACGGAAAAAAAAACCGTTGTTAAAATCATAACCACCGGTTATTACGGTTGGGGGGCTATAAAAAATCCGAAAATATTTCAACCGACCCTATTTAAGCTGAAAACGAAATTATCAGGCCGAAACTACTAATTATCAACTTGTATATTTCTTATCATTGTTTTTAATCCGAAAATGTCAAATTAGAAAACTGGGAAGTTTAAACGCCGATATCTTGAACAAAAATTGAAAAATTGTTAATTAATTAAATCAGTTTATCTTAATTGAATTGTGACTGCCATCAGACGACTCCAGGATCACGTGAGGATATCTATAGGTATACATCCTAGCGTTCCAACACCGTGGGCAGGTAAAATAATTATATTTTTCTTTCTTTTATTGATCTCTTCACCATTCTGGGATTCACGACTCCGAATCCCCTTCAAATATCGGAAGGAAGGTAGTAATATAACTAGTAGGCTGGATTTTTATTATATTTAAAAATGAATCATTCTTTGTAGTACCAAAAACTAGATCAATTACTTTATATTATATAGGTATATTTTTATACCTACTCCTCTATATTTTATTCTTTGAAGGTACTTTTATATATTATCCTATCATTTTAATTATTTTAAATTTCATATTATTTGTATTACTACATACCCAAGGTTTATAGATAATATTATAATATACCTATATAATACTATCTATAGACTTTACAGCATACACATTGACTAATTTTCTCGAGGGAGGGATTTTTTTTATAATAGAGTACCTAAATTTTAAAATTTACTCTTTTCGGATTTTTATATCTGGTCCCTTTAATATGTATGCCTAGGTAGGTAGTAGGTACTATAAATTATATAAATTTGATACCTAATTGTTTTTAACTAGTTGCCTAGGTACCTACTTTTTGACAGAATAACTATATACTATGACAAAAGTTATAGTTATTATATTTCATAGACCTCTGTGACGATAATTTATAAAACAAATAGGAATAATAAACACTACCTATATTGTAATAATTGATAATTAAAGTAAGAAATACTTAATCATTTGTGTGGTGAGAACAATAAGATTAATATCATAATACGGGTAATAGAAAATATCTAATATAAAAACAGTATTAAATATAAAATTAAAAAAGACGTCCTAGAATAATGGGGACGAGTGCACCGTGCACTGATTTAGGTAATTTAATTAATATCTGTTAGCAACGATTAATTATTGCTAACGAAAAAAGATTCTGAACGGAGCGATGTTTTGTCAACAATATATTTGTCATATTACAGTAAAACAATTAACTAGACATTATATATAACCATTAATAATATTTGTTTAATGTACCGATTTTCACGTTTTTCCTGGTTTTTCACATTTGCTGAGAAAACTAAAGAAAATCGAAAAATAACCTCCCTAAAGTACCTCTCCAGGCAAATTCCCTTTTAGAAACATTGCTATCATTATAAATTGGAGCAAAGTTGCTGGTAGAAAAGTTTTTCACAGAAAAAAAAATCGTATTATTTTACTAAAATTGATTATTGATTATTGATTAATCAAATTATAAATTTCTTACAGAAATATATAGATTTAAAATTGGATCTTTTGGTTTGTTTTAAGTATAGGTACCTAGAACATATTATACAATATTTTTTAAAATTCAATATCTCTTTTCTTGGCAAAATCCTAAATATGCCACTGCGTTTCTCGGTACATGTTTTTCCTATTTATACGTGTTTATTCCGATAAAGTATTTAGAGATAGGAAAAAAAAAATATTTACCTAAATTTTGGATGTGTGCCTAAATACTCAAAATATTTACTTAATTACTTACCTACACTTTGGGTATTTACCCAAGATACATCATTATGCGCAAGTTACACTAAAATTAACTACTACTATCACTATTTTAGATTTTGAGTGGAGCGAAGAAAAACGCAGACAAAACGAGAAAATCGATACAATATTAAACAAATATTTTTAAAGAAAATATATAATGCCTATTTATTTATTTTACTATAATATGACATATGTATTGTTGACAAAGCATCACTATTAACTGAACTCCGCTCAGAATCGTTTTTTCCTAAGCAATTGTTTATCTTTGCTTCCAGGTATACATTAACATTGAATGTAATTTAATTACCTATAACAGTGGCTGTATCCATCCCTATTATCCTAGGATGTCTTTTTTTAATATACAGTTAGAATTGATAACGTATTTAAATGTGTGCATAATATTAATACTTAAGTATT